AAGTGTTAGACTCCATGTCCAACTGTCTACCATTTGACCTCTCCACCTGTGTCTCTCTAGACCTCTTTAATTTAACATGTTCAAAATAGAACACTTGACCCCCTACTACTGCCCCAATTTCCTCCATCTTGGTAAATGCCAACAGCATTTAGTCCAGGCCAAACCTTAGAGCCATCTTTTCTTTCTTCATATGATACCCTATATCTAATCTATCAGCAAATCCTGTCCTTTCTACCATCACTAAATTACCCCAAATCTTATTACTTCTCAGTAGCGCTACTGTTACCACTCTAGTTCAAGCCACTGCACATCTCTCTTGGTCTACTGCAGTAACCTCCCAACTGATAGTCACTTTCCCTCTCTTTTGCCTATAGTCAATCCTCTACATAGTAGCCCAAATGATCTTTTTTAAATAAAAAAACAGATTTTATTACTCTTCTACTCTAACCCCTCTCATGGCTTCCTTCACACTCGAAATAAAACCCATGATAAGTAAAGCATGACATTATCTGGTCTCAACCTGCCTCTCCAACCACCTCTCCAACTCCTTTCTCCTCTCTCACTCAGCTTTGGGTACATTAGACTTGTTGCTGTTTCTCAGACATACCAAGAGTATTCCCAGCTCTTTTCCCAGGTCTTTGCATCACTTGTACCTTCACTTTACTTAGGTCTTTGCTCAAATATTTCCTCAGATAAGCATTCTCTGGCTATGCTATCTAAAATGTAGCCCTGGGGAATTCCATGGCAGCCCAGGGGTTAGGACTCAGTGCTTTCACTTCTGGCCCACGTTTGATACCTGGCCAGGGAACTAAGGTCCTGCAAGCTATGTGGCACAGCCAAAGAATAAAATAAAATAAAAATAAAATATAGCCCTGACTCCCAACACTCTGCATCCCCTTACCATTTATTTTTCTTTATACTGAAAGAAGGTGACAGTTTTAGTCACTCAGTCATGTCCAACTCTTTGGAACCCTATGGACTATAGCCCACCAGGCTCGTCTGTTGATGGAATTCTCTAGGCAAGAATGCTGGAGTTGGTAGCCATTCCCTTCTCCAGGTTCTTTATAGTACTTACACCATATTACATATTTCTTTGGTTATTGTATGTTTCCCCTGTAGAATGTATATAGGCTTTAAAAAGACTGTCTACCTTGTTTACCTCCATAATCCTAATGCCTAGAGTAGTGTCTGGCACAGCCTAGAAAGTTCAAGGCTGTAATTTGTTAGAAAGGAAATCGGCATATATTTTAGAAGGAATTTCTGATAAGTTAGTGTCTGTAATATGCAGGGAGAAAGTAGAGGGATCAAACACCCTGTTTTGTTACCAACTAAGACCACAAGACCCAGGCCACAAGACTTTATTATTTTTTAAATGCTATGTCTTCATTATTACTTCTTTATTTCATGTTTGGCTGTGCTGGGTCTTCGCTGCTTTATGCAGGCTCTCTCTGCTTGCCGTGCGCGGGGGCTGCTCTTCCTTGTGGTGTGCAGGGTTCTCACTGCAGTGCCTTCTCTTGTGGAGCACAGGCTCTAGGGCACCTGAGCTTCAGTAGTTGCAGCACACAGGCTTAGTTGCTCTGCAGCATGTGGAATATTCCAAGACCAGGGATCAAACCCATGTCCCCTGCATTGGTCAGTGGATTCTTATCCACTGCACCACCAGGGAAGTCCACAGGACTTTATTTTTAAAACCAGGACAATCCTAGGCAAAATGGAACTGTTAGTCACCCTAGGAAAAGCACTACATATTTTTAAAGGGGATGGAATCCCCTTTGAGTCCAATCAGATGGGCTTATACTTGGATAAAAACAAAAATAGCCATCTCTACTTGTTGAGCATTTACTACAGACACTGTGCAAGCACTTTAAATACATTTTCTCATTTAATTTTTAAGGTAATCTATGAGATAGGCACTTTATCCCCAAAGCACAGAATAGGAAGCTCCCAATTCTGAGAGAATTAAGAAACTTGCCCAAAGTTGAACAGTTTGAGTGAAAGGTCTATAGAGTTAATAAAAGTGAACAACTTGGTAAGAACTGGAATGAACATTTGAAACTGATCTTGCACAGTTCTGAAGACAAGAATTTGTCCTCAAATATTTATCTAGCTTGAGGTTTTTAATCAGTTGTATTTTTAAAAGCAGAGTTAGCAGTACTCAGCCAAAAAGAGGTCTGGGATGTTCTACAAAGTTGGGCCAGTTGACCTTCTCTGGGACTGGGACTGAATTGAATTGGATATTGAATGGGGTCTGGGATATTGAATGGGATCAGGGACAGCTTGATCTCACTGACTAAGTTCATATTACTAGTCATAAGAGCCTCCACTCAATTTTCATTACCAGAACTTAGGTCTAAACTCAGTTTATCTAAAATTTTTACCTATTTTTTAGGCAGTAAAAAGATCCTGGATGTTCTGGTTTGAATTTCATTCCCTATACTACCTCACTCACAGGAAGAATGTAGAAAAAAGGGTAATCTAAAAGTTAGTGTAGGCTTTGGCATAAAAGCCTAGATTTGAACCCTTGCTTTGCAGTTAACCACCTGCATGACTTTGGGCAAGCCACTTTACCTCTGCCTGTTTTTTTCTTTCGTAAAAAGAAGATAATACCTACCTCATAGGATGATGATTAAATGAGATAATATATGTTAAGCTACTTAGCACAGAGTAAGTGCTCAATAAGTGGTGGCTATTGATACTAATAATAGCTTAGCCAGAGTTTATTATTGCTTTTGCTTATCGAAATTGATACTGAAAAACCTGCCTCCATTGATGAGAGGTGACAGTGGAGTTTGGATTTCATTCTCAAGGTGTTAGGGAGGCATTCAAGAATTGTAAATGGGAATGGCAATAAATGAAAGGAATCAAGAAAGGAGCCCAGTGAGTTCTTTGGAAGTCTAGTGGTTAGGACTTGGTGTTTTCACTTCAGGGACCTGGTTGAATCCTTGATCAGAGAACTAAGATCCTCCAAGCCATGTGTATGACGTGGGTGCTCAGTCGCTTAGACGTGTCCGACTCTTTGGGACCCTTTGGACTGTAGCCCTCCAGGCTCCTGTGCCCATGGGATTTCACAGGCAAGAATACTGGAGTGGGTTGCCATTTCCTACTCCAGAGGATCTTCCTGACCCAGGGATCAAACCTGTGTCTCCTGCATCTCCTGCTTTGGCAGGCAGACTCTTTACCACTGAGCCACCAGAGAAGCCTGTGGTGAGGCAAAAAAAAACAAAAGCCCATAAGAAAATTTAAGAAAGAGTGATCAGAGAGAGAAGAGAAAATCAGGATACAGTAGTATTTTAAAGCCAAGAGGGAAGTGAGGTGAGAGTAGTGAAAGTGAAAATCACAGTTGTGTCCTACTCCTTGTGACCACATGGACTATACAGTCCATGGAATTCTCTAGGCCAGAATACTGGAGTGGGTAGCCTTTCCTTTCTCCAAGGGTTCTTCCCAACCCAGCAATCGAACCCAGGTCTCCCGCATTGCAGGCGGATTCTTTACCAGCTGAGCCACAAGGGAACCCTAAGGTAAGAGTAGACAACTGTGTTAAATGGTACGAGAGAGAAAGAAATAATACCTGAAGATTGTCCAGTGAATGGCTGATACACAGAGCATTTAAGGCCTATTGAAGAACAGCCACTTTAAAGTGGCATACTTTTTATGCCACTTGTCTTTTTCCAATAAGCCAGCATGTCTTAATTTCTCCACTACAGGCAAAAACACAACCTTCCTTTGAGTCCTGAGCAAAAATTTGCAACAACTTCCCTTTGCCTAGGGAGTTAAACAGATTCCTCAGTCTGCTGTTCTATGCTCTGTACAACATGGCCCCAAACCAACCTTCTATCTTCTTTTCCCACTGGTTTCCTAAGGACGTTTAATTTTCCTCTCAACTGAATTTCTTGCTGCTCTTCAAATAAAATCACAGTATTTTATGCTCTTATTTGTATGCTAGTTATAGCACAGTTCATACAGAGTATGAATCCTGCCTCATATTATTATAATTATCTGTATAATTATATAATTATAAAATCTCAGAATAATAAAGAACCTCACAAGTCATTTCCCATGCAAGGATTTTGTCAGTTTTTTCACTAGTATGTGAAAAAGGGAGAAAAAAATATTTTGGTGAATCTTTCATAAATCTAAATTTATTTGATTCAAAGGACTATCCTTAGATTAGAGATTATGTCCCCTTAAGTTTTGTTTTTGGTGTTAAAATTTCCTTTCTTTTACAATATGATGGTGTTTTTTTAATATGTTTTTTTTAATGTTTAGTACTTGCTAATTTAAAAACTGGTAACTTTATGTCAATCTGCAAACGTTTTTGAAATTCTTAAAGTCCATGAAATGTTGAAGTCATGAGCTATTGATCTCCTCTAACCTTTATCTGACCCAGAAATTCCCCCTCTAGCAACATCTCTAAGTTATGTAAACCTCTTATTGAACACTTCCAGTGCCAGGGAGCTCATCTCCTCCCAAGGTAGCATATTCCATTTTTTTTACAGCTTTAACTGTGAACAAGTCTTAGCTCCACTTCAAAAAGGTGTTTGAGAGCTACTCTTTTAGAGAACCCCTGTCCTATGCCTTTTCCCTAGTGGTCTCTCAAAATATTTCTTCATGACACTCTGAAGAAATTGAAGTTTGATAGGAAATCATCACCTATAATCCTATTATACAAAAATACTTCAAGATAGGGCCTTGGAAAAGATAATAAAACTCATTCTCTGCGGAAACAGGAAGATTTATAGGTTTGTGATGAAACATATTATTTTCCTAGGTATTAAATTAGGTATTAATCTATACATCAATATAGCATTAAAACCTATCAAACCATCCTTTGAAAATTGCCTGAAAGCACTGGGGAAATTATTATATATTATGTTGTTCTAATTTTGCTTTATAGGTTCTCTTGTATAATCACTTTAGGAGAAAAGCAATCTAAGACTGAAAATTGATAATGTGATTTGATTATATTCATTTGTAATTTTGTGTTACTTCTTTTTCTAAAGCTGGGGCCTCAACTTTGGTGACCGAGGATATATACGGATGGCAAGAAATAGTGGAAATCACTGTGGGATTGCTAGTTATCCTTCTTACCCAGAAATCTAGAGGACCTCTTTGTTTTATAACAATTCAAGAAAAAAGAAACACTTTCTCACAATTTAATTTTACCTGCTGTAACAGTAGAAATAAGTATGATATGATCAATTTATATTTACTGTACTAACAGAAAGTATAGTTTGATTCATCTACTTTTTTTGGCTTTGCAGATCTTGGGGAAAAGTTTGCTAAGTAAATTAATAATGTACAATAGATATAATTGTATGAAAGTCAACTAAGACAATCTGTCATGTTTATCACTCTTATTTGTCCTTTTAAGTTCCCTAATATGCTGTTGAAACTTGATGGCATATAGATGCTTAATAAATATATATCTTTTCAACTCTGTATCATTACCACATACCATTCTCTTTTATTCTTAAGTAACTATTATAATCTGTTATGAGAATATAAATTGTAATATACTGGTGATGTGCTATGGCAACTTTATGGAAGAAACTATTAGATTATTAATGTCCTCAGATTGTATCTTTGCACATAAAAGGATCAGTAAATACTTTAATGTGATGTCAAAGAAGACAAATGCTAAGGAGACAATCTATTTTTCAAGCACTTTGTAAGAATTATTCTATTGATCAATAAATATACTAATTCAAACTATTTTTACCTAGTCATTAGCAATTTGGCCAGTATCTTTTGGGGGCAAAAAGTCAACCTGAATAAATAAACTGCATTTCTTTAAAATAATGCATTGCTCATATTTTATCTAATTCAGATTGATATTCCTCATACCTGCTCTAGATTAAGAGACAGTTCCTGAAGAGGTAGCAGGAACTTTAAATTGTCTAAATTCATGTCTATGACATGAAAAATGGATGGGATGATGTCATCAGTATATCTTAAACTGAACTTAAACTTATTTCACTATCTTTGGCTCCCTTGTCACAAAGTACACTTTAAAGAATAAGAATTGCTCACTATAGAAACATGGTAGTAACATATGACTATCATCAAAACTGTAGAAAAACATTGTAGTTAAAAAGTATTTAGTTGACAGCACTTCCCTGGTAATCCAGTGGCTAAGACTCTGAGCTCCCAATGTAGGGGGCCTGGGTTCGATCTCTGGTCAGGAAACTAGGTCCCACATGCCACAAGTAAGACCCTGCCCAGACAAATAAATAAATAAACATTTTCTGTAAATATTTTAAAATTTTTATTTTGCCCACAATTTTTCAAGCACTGTAAATGGAACAAAAACATAGGTTCTTAATCTTTGTCAGTTGATTAAACGAATGGGTGCCTTCTCAGAAAAATGTTTTTAACTCCTTAAAATAAAATTCATAGAATTACAAAGGATACTGATTATATTAAAATATTAAAATTTTTGAATATAAATTTGTGCTATAGAAATAAACATGCTTCTTTTAAAATGCATTAAATAACAAAAGCCCATGACTATCTTAATTTTGAAATAGTGACAAATATAAATGATATTTGAAGGTATCTGAAAAAAACTGTAATGTGGTATAGAAATACCTGAGTTTTCTTTTGGTGACAGAATTACAAGTATTATTATTACTGTGGTTTATGGACTATGTTCAGAATTGAAGGAAATGCTTTCAGTTAGAGACTACTGAAAATAAAGGTATCATTTTTTTTCCCCATAAAAATCCACAAATTTTCTGAATTCTATCCATAGATCCTTTAGGAATCTGTGGATCCCAGGTGAAGAACCTCTGAACTAGTAAGTAGAATAATGAAATATATAATAAAAATCTTCATTGTATGTCTAACACAAAGGGGAATTTTCAGCCATAAGTAATTTTAAACTACAGAAATAGTCTTTTTTAAGAAATAAAAAGTTTACACAAAAGAAAGTTTAAATAAAAAAATAAATTAAAGAAAAATATTCTGGGAGCTGTATATAGGGTGATTTGAAGAAAATAAAAAGGATAGTAGCTAGAAAATACTATAGTAAGTATACATGTGTGGTGATAAAAGTGAAAGTGAAAGTCGCTCAATCGTGTCCGACTCTCTGTGACTGTTCTTGGAATTCTCCAGGCCAGAATACTGCAGCCTTTTGGGTAGCCTCTCCCTTCTCCAGGGGATCTTCCCAACCCAGGCATCAAACTGGGGTTTCCCGCATTGCAGGTGGATTCTTTACCAACTGAGCTATGAAAGAAGCCTGTGGTGATAAAACCCTGCACAAATTTAGTAACTGTGAAAAAAGGAAAAAACTAGAAACAAATCGAGAACAACGAGCACATCTAGGATTTAAATGGATAATAAAGGTAAAGAAACAAGAGGATTTAAACATTCCAGAACTAGGAATCCACTGAACAATGCTGTTAAAATCAGCATGCTGTTAAATGCGGTTAAGAAAGGGGCTCCCCAGTGGCTGAGTGGTAAAGAATCCACCTGCCAATGCAGGAGACATGGGTTTGATCCCTGGTCCAGGATGATCCCACATGCCACAGAGGAAGAAACCCCGTGTGCCACAACTACTGAGCTGCACTATAGAGCCTGGAAATCAGGCCTACTGAGCCCATGTGCTGCAACCACTGAATCCCCTGCAGAGAGCCACGCTCTGCAGCAAGAGAAGCCACTGCAATAAGAAGCTAGCACACCACAAGGAAGAGCAGCCCCCACTCATGCAGCTAGAGAAAAGCCCGTACGGCAATGAAGATTCAGCACAGCCAAAAATAAATAAAAATTATTTTTAAAAATATAAGAAAAATATGAAGACAGACATTATTTCTTTGAAAAGAATTATCCTTTTCTTACTCTTCTCTATATGAGAATCTTGTTGATGCTCCATATACACGTTTATACTCTTAACTTACATGTCTATAAACAAAAGTAAAAGCAGCCCTTAAGCTATACAACTATTCAAGATGAATCAATGTATCTTTGCTGATGCCTGCAACCCCACTCCCAATCTTCAATTCATCCTCCTACCAGCCAGAGGGAGCCTGTGAATATACAAATTAGATAATATAATTTCCAATTGTAATCATTCAATATCTCCCATTACACCTGAGAGGCACAAATTTCTTAATGCGGACTATTCAGTTCTGCATATCCTGGCTTTCTTTTTTCATCTGGAGACAGTTTTATGTATTTGCTATGCTTTTATCATAGTGGCCTCCCTTCAGTTTCTGAAGCACTTTCTACTTTAGGGCCTTTGCAAGTAGTATTTTCTCTGCCCAAAATACTTCATACCCCTTTTATGGTTGTAACTCAAAAGACATTTCCTCAGAGAGATCTTCCATGACCCTCCTTCCTATCTAAATTAAACTTCTCTGCTCTTGACTTTCTCATTGAATTCAGTGTTTTTCTGCCGTAACACTTAAATCAAATTGTAATTATGTATATATTGATGTATGTTTATTCATATAACATCTCTCTCCTTCATTAGATTGTATGGTCACGGAGGGCTGAAATCATGACACTTTGTACCCAGACCCTAGCATACTACCTGCCTTAAAGTCAGTTCAGTTCAGTTCAGTCACTCAGTCGTGTCCAACTCTTTGCCACCCCATGAACTGCAGCACGCCAGGCCTCCCTGTCCTTCACCAACTCCCGGAGTCCACCCAAACCCATGTCCATTGAGTTGGTGATGCTATCCAACAATCTCATCCTCTGTTTGTCCCCTTCTCCTCCTGCCCTCAATCTTTACCAGCATCAGGGTCTTTTCAAACAAGTCAGCTCTTCGCATCAGGTGGCCAAAGTAGTCAGTCACTATTTGTTGAAAGAATGAATGACTGATGAATAAAAACAAAAGAATGACTGGCACATCGTATGTGTTAGAAGTAAAAATAAAACCTAGTATTTTCACAATAATGAACTCCAACACTTTGAGAAACTATTTTAGAACTCCTGTTAAAAATTTAAAGACTCCATTATTCAAAACTTAATTTAATGTTTAGTAGAGCTAATACATTCACATGGGGCTTCCCTGGTGGCTCAGATGGTAAAGAATCTGCCAGTAACGCAGGAGACCCAGGTTCTATCCCCGGGTCGGGAAGATTCCTTGAAGAAGGGCATGGCTACTCACTCTAGTATTCTTGCCTGGAGAATCCCATGGACAGAGGGTGTAGCCTGGTGGGTTATAGTCCACAGGGTCACAAAGAGTCGGACATGACTGAGTGACTAACACATACTATATATTCACATGGCTCAAAAATCAGCAAGTATTGTGGGATGGGGGGATATTTTCCCTACTATCTTCCTAGTTTCTCCAGCCAGAGCCCTGTAAATTGGATTGACAAAAAGCAGATAAACAAGAAAAAGCATACAAATTTAAGTTTACTTGACATGGGAGCCGTCAAAAGGATTTAAAGACTGGAAGAAACAGTTAAACTTGGGTGTTTTTATACTAGGTTTGATGAAGAGTGGGAAGTCCTGGGAAAATGTGGTAGGACAGAAGAGTATGAGCTAAGGGGTGGTAAACTGGGGGAAACTCAGCAAGTTCTGCTAAGTTCAGAAACGTTCAGGAGCATCCCTTGTCTTGAACATAAGGATGCTCCTTTCTTCCAGGTATAGGGAGAGCACCACTCACATGAGGGTCTTATGACCTGCTTCAGAAAGGGGAGGGGGTGACAGAGAACCCTTCCAGCACCTGCTGTTTCCATGAACTGCTTCAGGGGGAAAGGGACAGGAATTCTGCACTTGCCATTCTTTGAATTCCTTCAGCTTAAAATATTCAATATATCAAAATGCCATATTTTGGGTAGTGTGTTCTGAACCCTCTAAGTGTATAACAGTCAATTCTCATTAGTTTTTAGTAGTGACCAGCAAATAATATCATGAACAATGAATTATCAAATACTGAACTATTGTTTTGAAGGGAAATGCAAGGTTAGTTTCTTGTAAGACCCTGGTCACATCATTTTAATCAACTGATTGATACATGACCTTCTTCTGTGTATGGTTCTGCTTAAAGACACCTTATTTAATATACTTTGTTGATTCATTAATATTGAATTTACAGCCAGTAGCGCTATATAACTCATGCCTAGACAAATATTATCTAACACTTGTATTTC